CAACTTTACAGAATTGTTTTGATGCTGTAGTTAAATGAGACCATGGAGGCGAAGGGATTTTCAGATGTAAAATGCTGTGCAAAAGAATATTCAGTGCCTGTGTCAGTGGTGACTCTTGCACTGACTGACTCACCAAATGATCTCATGTGAAAGCCCATTCTGGCTAATTTTGTTCCTATGGCATCTTGGCTGTCAGTGCCACCTTAAATTCCACTGTGTCTCTGAAGAGCAGGTGAGTGCCATCTCCCTGGGATGCCTCCTCTGAGCAGACCAAGCCGGTACCTATGCGGCGGTACCTCGGTACACCCTCTGGCCGTTGTCATCCCTCCAGTCCCTGGGATAGCCCCACCACCCCATTAGGTGCCGCGGGGGTGCAGTGCTTGAAATCACACACAAGAGTGATCACATCCTACCTCTGAATCGTGCTAGCTGTGTGACTGTGGGCAAGCCCATTAACTCTCGACCACCACTTTTCTCATCTATAAGCCAAGTGGATAATAATATCTGTTTTGCAGGGTTGTTGTAAAGGCTGAATGAAGTAACGGGAAGTCTGGGATGCGTGAGAGATAGTAAATGACAGCTGTCCCTGTGCTCCCCCTTACGCCTCCCGCCCGGTCCTCGCCATGCACTGGGTCAGTGTCAGCATCCTTCCACGCGTGCTCTCTCTCTGCCACCGCACACCCAAAGACAGCGCCTCTAGCGGCTCTCACCTGCGGGGCAGCGCAGAGGGCCCAGGTCCGCAGTAGCAGGGAGGTTTCGTGAGAGCCAATCAGAGCGCGGACGGCGGCGAAAGAGCCAATGGGCTTGGCGGCGGGGCCGGGGGCGGGGCCTGGGCGAGGCCGGTCGCGGCGCTGGCTGCGCTCCTGCTCTGGACTCTGAGGGCATGAGGGCCTCCCTGCGGGGCCGGCTCTTTTACCGCCGCGCTGGCCGTGCTCCAGGCCGGCCACCGGCCCCACCGCGCCGCCCTTCGCAGCCCCAGAGAGCGGGAATAAATTAAGCTATTCTTAGTAGGGCCTGAAAAGGAGCCCTTCTGACTACTGGGAAAATAAAGTTGCGTCCGTCTCTGGTTCTCAAACCCAAGCACAGCGGTGTGAGTCGCCCGGTGCTGCAAGAGGTGGCCGGAGCGGCCGGGTTGCTGGGCGCTCAGAGGAGCCTCCTGGCCAGGAGCAGGTGCTCTCTGTTCTGCTAGGCTGTGGCGAAGAGAGAATCGGCTGCGTTGGGGCCAGCCGGGGTGTCGGCAGGAGGGNATGCTTGTCAAATTCATAATCGAAATGGCTTTGCATGTTCCCCACACTGACAGTAACCTCTACAGAAATGCCACAAGGTAAGTGACTCATCTCATTGAAAAGGACTCTGAGGCCCAGGGAGGTGAAGTGACTTACTCACGCTCACACAATGAAACCACGGCTCAGTGACAAGCTGCCCATCACACCCCCTCGCTAACCCCATCCCACTGGGGTTGCACAACAGGCCCTAGAGACAGAAGGCCTGGTCTTCCTGGCTGATTCATCTGGGAATTGGATGTTGAAAAAAGAGTCTCCGGAAGATGAGATTGTGGATGGGCTGGTACACTGGCCTTAAGCATCACACTTTGGATTTGCTCAGTTATTTGTTGAGCATCTGCTATGTGCTGGGGATACACCCGTGAGTGAGACAGCATGTCTCTACCCAGTGCTGGCGGCACTGACACTCTGACTGGGGAGTAGACCACAAGCAAATGAACTCATAACTACATACTGAGATGAGACCATATAGGAAACATGTGGAATAACAGAACAGAGTGACAGGGAGGGAGAGCTCCCCCGCAGAGAGGTGTTCCCGAGGGATGCTTGGAGCAGGTGAGAGGGCAGAGATCTAGAGGACAGGCCCTGGTGAAGCTCAGCACCTTGCTCCTGAATTTCAGAATTGCACGTGTGGAGCCCAGAGCCCTCTGCCCAGGGAGGAGAATCGGGGAGAGACCCCATCACAAGGCCTGGTGTCTGCCGCTTCCCTGCCATCTTCCCACAGCGCCCAGCGTGGCCCCACACTTCCCCAGGGCTTCTTTATTTATTTTACCACATCTGAGGAGTTTTTAATGGGGGAAAGGGTCTAGGAATGGGGTTGTTTGAGGACAAGGAAACGAGCCACTTGCTGTGATGAATGTTCTTGAAAAGCAATTTATTTTTTCACGGGTAGCTCGCTGGGCTTGGGAACAAAAGTGTTTTGGCTGCCTATCAAATATGAACAGAGGCTAACTGTTTCTTCAGCATTTTTCTTTCCCCGCACACGCTCACCCGCGCCTCTCCCTATGCATGACAGAAATGACATCGGGTTCAAGGGCTCCCTGGGGTCCCCTCCTAAGATAAAGTGGCAGCTGCTTTCATGGGGCCTGAGGCCCTCTCCCTCTCCCTTCTCTGCTCACTTGCTTCCAAGCAGCAATGGCACTCAGAGATATTCTCCCTCTCCTGGTGGGATGGGAAAGAGTGGGTGCCCTGGACATCAGAGGTCAGGTGTGATCCCTGAAAATGTCAATGCTCCCCACAGCAGCAAGGAGCCCATCTGTGTTCTCCCCACAGTTTAGCAAGAGAGGACATAAGCCGGTCTGCACCCACATCCTCCACTGCAGCTGCCATAGTCACATCGGCAGGCAGCTCTTCTCTGGGTGTTCTCAGTCTACCCATGCCTCTTACCCATGCACAGCATTTCCCCCAAAGGTGGGCTCTCAGGCATCATGGGGCATCGGTGGGGAAGACCTCGTGGATGGTGGTGACAGAGGGGTCACTGATGCTCCGAACCGTCGGCTGAAAGCGTGCATTTGTCAAATGATGATTGTGCTTGGCTCTCTGGGGAGTCCTTTAAATCCCTGGGAAATATGATGGCTAAAGCAAAATGAGGGATTCAGTTTTGAGCTGGGCCTGGAAAAGTTATTGGAGAAAAAATACAGTGTCTGAAACTTATTATTAGGAGAGTCTGAGTTTTAGCAGGAATCCCAGGAGGCCGGGATGCTCCTGCTAGCGTGGGCCTGGCAAGGAAGACCAGGCCACTCCCTGTGTCCCTCTCCT